TTTTTTTTTTTTGAGGAAACTGGTATTTTTAAAGCATTGGCAGTTATTAAACAGCTCTTAATGCGTAAAGGAAACTTACGATGAATATGGTAGCATCTGTGCCAGACCAAACATCTGGAGTTTTTAACGGAGTGGGCAATAGGAAACAAGAATTCGAATTCTGCTTTTCAGCTGACACTATAAATCAGCTATTTTAAATTCAATCAAATGGAAGAATTTGTTTTTTGGTTCTCAGGGTCAAAACCGAATAACCTTAGTTCAGCAAAGCATTCCGCATGAACTAGGCATGTGAGTAATCTTGTCCTTAAGTTACACTTTTACACACTGAAAAATGCAGATGATAGTTTAAAAAAATCACAGAAGCATATGCTAATTCAAAATATGCCCAGACGAATGGTGGGAGCCTGCCAGATTTCACAGGTTTTAAGCTTCACTTTCACGTTAAAAGTACCTGTATACATCCAGAGCTGAAGAAGAAAAGTTCCCAGCTTGATTTGACAAGATATCCCCAGAGAAGAGAGCGGCTGCAGCCAGCCTGCCCTCCTCCGCCAGCTCGTCCCCAGCACAGCCCCTCTGCGGGGGCACGGGCCAGCTCCAGGCACTGCCTCTCACAGCTGGACCCCTCACAGCTGGACCTCCGGTGACCAAAGGGGACCCTCTACTGTCTTGGTACCTGCTGGAGAAGGAGGTCTCTGGCAACACCTCTCCTGGCTTCAATTTCCGCCCTTCAGTTTGCAGCCAGCGAGGGCTGAAAAGAAACCTGCTCCAACATAAAAATCATCACGGTAGTGACATTCTCAGGCTATTATGTGCAATGACTGTATCGATGACTGAGTTATTCTGACTCAAGGAGTTACCTTTTGTGAGCTAGGTTACCTGCCTTAATTAAAGAGTAAAATCAATTAGAATAAACTACCATGAAGGTGATTAAACCCGAAGAACAAAGTGTTTAAACCAGTATTTAACAGGTGGGGTAGGCAAAAGATGTTCCTGTCTACACTTCACACAGTCTGAGCTTCAGAGTGCAACTGGGTGAGCCATGGTAGTTTAATAATGTAAAACTGTCCCATTGCTGCCAAAGCTAAGGATTCAACACCTACAGAGGCTGGTACCCATCACTATAGCTTGTTAGTTCCTGGAAATGGCTGATGTTGAAGGAATGTTACAGAAAACATAATGAGATCAAGTATTAAAAAACACATTGAACAAAGCATTTTGCAGACACATTGCCTGAATTATTAGAACGGGCTTGTGACTGGATAAACTATTTAAACTACTAGAAAGCAATTCTTGAAAATATGAAAAAACAGAGAACTGCAAAACATTGCTGACCAACTTCAGTTAATGCATCTCGGAAGGGCAGTGATGATCTCCAGATTCACTTAATGAAGAGGAGCAGGCTATAATTCAGCAAGGACAAGGGTAACCTTCTATGTGTTGGTTGGAATAACTCCCTGTGCAAACAGGGTAGAAAGTGACATGAAGGACCTGTGAGTTACCATGTGCCACCAACCAAATGCCAAACATTTCATACTGCTGTGAAAAAAATGAATGTCATATGGGGATGTATGAACAGGAGTGCCATATGCAAGATGTGTGAAATCATCCTCCTACTCTACTTGCTGCTGAAAGCCTCAGCCTGAATCCTGCGCCCGGATTTAGGCACAGCACTCCACGGAAGATGTGGAGCCGCCAAAAGCAAGAAGGTTGCTGGAAGTCTGGTAAACATAGTCTGAGGAAACCTGGGATTAAAGGGAAGAGGGCCAGGCGAGTGAGAGTGGTCCCACATACGCCAAGAAAAAGAAAAGAAATTGTTTGCCAGATGCAGAGGACAAATAAGGAGGACAGCTGAGTTGCAGAAGGGGAATTTGGGTTAGACATGATGCAAATGCTGCATCGGTAGTGCGGGGTAAGCAGCCCAAGGAGGAGACAAAGTGCAGGACAAGAAGTATCTGTTTGGAAAGACGTAATCCCTCCATTGGCAGAGGGCAGATGATGTCTGGAGACTGTCCCCTCCTCGCCCCCAGCTCTGCCATGCTGATGAAAAGCTAAAAATCCTCAGCTGCTACAAAACGTGGAAACTTCATTAATGATTTATACTAGTAAAGGGTCCTTGCCTGAAATGCGTCCAGTGTAATCATTTTTTCTATCTAATTTTTGCTTTTAGCCATGAGATTATGAGTAATAGCTACGAGGCTACGCTGTTAGCCAGAAATCCTTTAGCTTTCTAAAGGTCACTTAATCTATGATTTAATCTGATGGTCACCGAAATTAAGTGGAAGCAGTTCAGCGGGCTATAATGGAGGGTGGTTTGTGTCTCTAGCCTTCAGTTACCTTGAGCTAAACCATCCTTTATAAGCAAAACAACTTACAGACATGGAATACATTCTGAAACGCACGCTGAATCCTTCTGTTGCACTGCAGGAAAAAAAAAAAAAGGAAACCCTGCTTTTCTAGGTAGCTGCTGCTTTAAAACAGTTCTTATGACAAACTCTGGAATGTCTTTAGTGCCTTCTGTTCACCTGTTGATACCCCTGTCCCTCCGAGATTTTATGCAGCTGGGGAAGCAGGGAAGATTCACACGAATTTGGTTGCTCTGTCATGATGACTTGTTCACAGTGAGAGCTGAGCTGCGTGTTTGAAACTTACTCCTTTTAAGAATGGAGTACTTCAACTAAGCAAGACCAAAAAAAAAACCCAGGGAAAAAAAAAAAAGGAAAAGGAGAATTAGCTATACAGCTTGGCAGTTAAAGAAGGACTAAAATAGAAGTGTGAAACATTTCATCGTTATCTGTAAGTATTCAAGAATTTCAAGTCTCAGCATAGTCACTATTAGTGAATTGAAGATCTGAAATGTTGTCCCAGAGAGCAGATGCTTTGATCCCTAAACAGAGCTAATATTTCATATTTTTGAGTAGTTTTCCCCAGGTACTCATATTTCACATGGTTGGACTTTAGACTGCTTTTCTGCTATGGTTACTCTCTTGCAACACATCCTGGAAATCCTCCCCTCTGTAATATTACATATAATACAAACTACTTAGTTGGAGGAACTCAATTTTATAATACATGCACAGGCACAGAACTCCACAAAAGAAACCCCACACAAGACTCAGGTGAGAAAGCTAACCTTCTTTTGACTCTGGCTTTCTCGTGCTGCATTTCCTCTAGATTATGATACGGTTTAATTTTCATGGGTGTCATCTGAAAACGAGAGCCGATTTGTAATGTAGCCACGTCCTCTTTATCACTGAATATATTCCGTACGTTAACTGGTAGTGCGACGCACTGAAGCATAGTCTTTAATTAAAGTGCAACAATACCACAGCTACAGTACAGGCATGGCATAGGAACCGGGTGCTGGATATAAAAATAGCTGTGCTGAAACGTGTCATATCACTACACGATGTGACTGAGTCAGTGGAGACACTCTCACACTTGAAACCTGAAGTATGACTGAGCCCCGATTTTCAGCTGGGGACGCTGTGATCAAACCAATGCATGCATTCTTCTCCACAAATGAATGATGGCGTGAACGAGGATGTATTAAACACCTACAGCGCAACAACGCTTTTCACACTGGTTTACGAACCAAACACAAACAAAGAGGCTATGAACTCTCCAGAGCTCTTGTTTTATCTCCCATCTAGTCCTCCTGCCCGTTTGGATACAACGCGTGGCATCCCCACAAATGCCCTGCTGCCAACAGGGGAGGGCACTGATTTTGGGTCAGGAGCGAGGCAACCGCCCTTCTCTCCTCCTCTTTCCTACCCTCGAGGAAAACAAGCCGAAATGAAACCACCCTGCACCCACGGCGAGTGAAAATGGGGGAGATTAAGAAGCCTCTGCTGGCACCAGAGCCAGGGAGTGGCTGGTGCCGCTTCCTCCGTAGCCCTCTGCCAAGGGATGCTAACTGGATGGGGGAGACAAAGCTCTCCACCCCCAGGGCTGCAAAACCCTCCCTACACTCTCTCAGCCAGGAGAAGCACAACCCAGAACCGATGACCGTCCTTGTCCCATGGACAGGTGCCTGCCAAGCCAGGACAGCTCTCTAAAGTGCCCAACGCACCCTTTGGATTTGTCATAGAATCATAGAATCAATCACAGAATTACCCAGGCCAGAAGGGACCTCCAAAGGTCATCTAGTCCGACCCCCCACAGTCAGCAGGGACACCCCCAACTAGACCAGGTTGCCCAGGGCCTCGTCGAGCCTCTCCTTGAATATCTCCAGGGAAGGGGCCTCAACCACCTCCCTGGGCAACCTGTTCCAGTGCTCCACTACCCCCACAGTAAAGAACCCTCTCCTAATCTCCAGTCTAAATCTGTTCCCCTCCAGCTTGAAGCCATTTCCCCTCGTCCTGTCACTGCAGGCCTTTCTAAACAGGCTCTCCCCAGCCTTCCTGTAGGCCCCCTTCAGGTACTGGAAGGCTGCTATTAGGTCTCCCCGGAGCCGCCTCTTCTCCAGGCTGAACAACCCCAGCTCCCTCAGCCTGTCCTCGTAGCAGAGGTGCTCCATCCCCCTGATCATCCTTGTGGCCCTCCTCTGGACCCTCTCCATCAGGTCCATGTCCTTCTTATATTGAGGGCTCCAGACCTGCACACAATACTCCTCAGCATGGCTGAGGCTGTCGTTGAGGCACGGGGACCTCTGCGAAGGTTCCCCTCCAACATGGGCCACCAAAACCAGCACTAAGCACCCACAGAAAAGCAGCCATGGGGCTCCCCCACAGCATTCAGGCATCCTCCTCCCTGGCTCCGGCGTGGGCACTGCATCCGACAGCAGGGCACTGTGCCCCCCCCCGGAGCCCCAGGCACAATTCTAACGTCCTGGCGCAGGGCAAACAGTTTAGGAAAAGAGGCCATGTGGATTTTGGGCACGGGGCAGCGTTGCAGGGAGGAGGGACCGGCAGCCATGCAGTGATGCTTCTCCGCTCGCTGGGAAACGCGTCAGGGAGGCACAAACACACAAAGGAGAGAGGAGAGAGGAGATAGATAGTTACCTAACATGACGAAGGGGATTCCCAGGAAGGTGGAATTGTATTTCCCACCAGTGAGATTGATGATCCCAGCTGCAGTCAGGGTGGCAAGGGTCACGGTCAGCAATCCCAGCAGGCCAAGCCAGGGTTTGCTGCGGACACAATCCTGCATGGAGCAGCAGAGAATGGCCAAGGTGACCACAAGGACCAAGCTTGTGATCAAGTAGCGTTCTGACACCCTGCTCGTCTTCTGGAAATCCTCCTTCAGCGAAGAAGAAGTGAAAGGATACATTTTGACTTTCCTGTTGGATTTCTGGAAAAGTTCAACCGTGTCACAAAAAATGGATTCCCACTTCTCTGCCACCATGTCATTCAAGGAGTTGATTGCCTGCAAGTAGTAGGTGAGCTGAATGGCTTCTGCAGACTTCACCCGGTCTTTGCTGTGCACAGTAACCCCACCAAGCTGATGCCCGTTATACACTTCCCTGCCATCCTTTAAGTGAGTAATCGGATAAGTGATTGCAAAATTAGTTCGATTAGAAGAACGAGCAGCCTTTAATTCCTCCAGCACATGCACTATGTCGTCCACTATGCATGTCTTGTCATTGTTCAGGATACATATATGGGCAAACGTGTAATTGAAACCAGGTCTTTGAACTTGGATCCTGGTCACAGCAGAGTGCAACTACAAGGGAAAGAGAAATCACACACGTTATTCATCAGTTCATCTCGCACAGCAGCAGCCAGAGCAACGGGGGCTCCTCACCTCCGTCCCTTTCCGATTTGATCTAAGCAACAACAACAAAAGTTCTGGTGACTGCTGCATTAATAGCACACTCATTGCAATAAAAAAAAAAAAAAAGGAAACATGCATTAAAATAGCAGTATTATTCCCTTACGTCCTTTGCTGATAACCCAGATGTGCTGTGACCTGCATCCATGCCATGTGCATCTGCTGCTTGGCCTCTCTAAATAAGCAAACTCCAAATGCCTGGACCTCCACTTTCAAGTGATCTGGGTGAACATAAAAGGGAGAGCTACAGCCTGACTGTGTCCGGGGACATGCGCCTGCTTGGGATTGCAAAATTCCTCTCTCAACAGATAAATTTCAGGTACAGAAGGTGTAAGTGCAAGGCGGCCAGAGGTGCCAGCCGCCCGGGATGCATCGGCAGCCTGGCAGCTGGTGGGGGACTTGTCACTGGCTCCCAGTAAAGGACAGGCCACAGCTGCATGTCCCGACTGCAGAGATTGTTGGGACAGCGGGAATAAGACAGCTGTCATTAACTAATTTGCCCTCTTTTCCCCTCCCTCGTTCCCCCATCAAACCCTCAGCAAGCCTGACAGCAGGAAGCAATGGCAGAGACTGACACATTTTCTCTGAGAGGTTCTGTTAATCAGGGACGGCTCCCTAATCTCAGGGCCTGCAGGTTATTACTGCTTATTGTTTGGTTTAGCAGCTCTTAGTACAGCTTCCTTAGTAAGTTGGTTTGCAGCCTTCTGAAATTCGCCCTGCCTGAGCTCTGACTCAAAGTGCACTCAGTTATTTTTGAGCCTCAGAAGGGCAGAAAAATTACCCCCTCCTTCTTAAAAAGACATTGAAAACTTGCAACCTTCTCTGAATCTATTTTAGTCATCACAAAAGAGGTAAGAAATTTAAAAGATGGTAAGGGAATAGCCTTAACAGGCTGGGGTGGCAATTATTATTTAAAAGTAGAATATGAAGATTGCTAACGTTGGGGGCTTTAGGAAAGTGCAAGCTGGTTTTTTTGCACATTTTACTTGCAAAATACACAGCCCTGGCTCACCACCATCGCCATTTAACTCCTTCTGTGCCTCTGTCGTTGTGCAGAGAGTACCACAACCTTCTGTAAGGGTGCTGGTGGGGCCGAGGATATGTTACCCACCACCAGAAGTCTGAGCAGACTTTCCCTGCGGCTGCGATGTCCTTTCTTCACCCTGGGCAGCCACCAAGTTCAGGAAGGGGCTCCCTCTGCTTTTTTCTAGCTGGCATGGGGGGTACCCGACATCCCAAATGCTGGGGGGGGGGGGGGGGGGTGGGGTGGGGGGGCCT